GGGGGGTGGGGAGCTACAGAGACCCGGGATAGGGGGGTGTATACAGATTTCCTGGCACGGGGGAATGAGGGTACACAAACCACCGAGCATGAGGAGGATGGGAGCTCCTGGGGAGCTTGGAGCTATGCAAGGAGCCTGCAGTGGGTGCTTTTCACTTGGCCTAGAGGAGCAACGAAACATGCAACCAAATGGATCCCTAGTGCCGACCCCCCTTCCGTCTACACACACATATCTGGGGCTCAGACCTTGGGTCCTAGGGCCCTGCAGGGCTGGAAGGGCCAAACCCAGCCAGGATCCGGGATTCAAGACTCCGATCCCGGAGAGACTTTCCCAGAGGCCCTGTTTCAGCCCAATCCGGGCCCATTGGGGTGACCCCTCTTCCTTCAGGGCACACGACTCCGGGAGTGTGAGGACCCCAATGACCCATGGCCCCCCGCAACTCGCAGCCCAGAGCCCGGCCTGTTTCAGGCAGAACCAAGCCCATGGGGCCACCCCAGCCACCCGCCGTTCTAAGAGGATGGAAAAGCACGGCCCCACGGGGGAGGTGGGAGACACTGCGACCCCACTACTCAAGGAAATCCCGGGATCAGAGTTTAGCGGGAGTTAATAAATCAGCTGTTGTGGTTACAGGGTGTCATCGTGTTAACCCCTTCTCTGCTAGGGTGAGCAGAGGTCCCGATTTTATAGGGACAGTCCCTATATTTGGGGCTTTTTTTTATATGGGCTCCTATTACCCCCTACCCCCATCCCGATTTGTCACACTTGCTGTCTGGTCACCCTATTCTCAGCCGCTCCCCCAGGAAAAGGCTGGTTTCTGCAGGGTCGGGGCGCTGATCCCAGCTGAGACTAATTATCCTCTGGGGGGAGGTGCATGGTGGAGGGGGGCAGTCTGTCATCCCCATGCAGGACAAGGCAGGTAAGGGGATGTCCAGTGGGGTGATAGTCCTCTTCACACTCTGGCTTCAGTGCTGGTGGCTGGGGAGGCGGGGGGCATCTGGATTCCCAGCCCTTCGGGTGGGACTTGTCTCATGCAGGTTCCTTCCTGGGTACGGTCAGCTGAGGGGGCCGATTCAAATGTAACTGTGCAGTCAATCCAACCCATCCCACCCAGGAGTGAGCCGGGTGAGGTTCCACCTCGCGACACACAAGCCCGGGTTTAGTCCCCATCCCTGCTGGGCTAGGCCCCTGCTTACGGTGGCTGTATCAGTCAGTGGAACCCCCGGGGGGGTCGTTGGCAACCAGCCCCCTGAATTTCTCCCTGGAGGGGAGAAAATTCTCTTAATTGCGCTTGGTCTCCTGCCACCCCTCGCAAGTGGGGGAAAGTTCCCAGGCTTGATCTGCAAAGCCTCCGGCTCGCCCTGGCTCACGCCTCTCCTCTGCCGTGGTGGAGACAGGTGAATGCAGCCTTGCAGCTGTGAGCTCTGCTGAGGACCGTACACATCCCATTAGATTTCCCCACCTCCCATCCAACCTGGTTTGCCTCATCCACCTGTTACCCCTTGTCTTTTGACCTGTAAGCTCTTTGACTGTCAGCCACTAAGGACCTCAAGATACAGATTGTGGTGCATCAAGGACTGCGTTGGGAGGGCAAGCTAGCACTTCAAGTGGGGTGGGGGTTTCTGGTCCTGCGAGCAGGCTAGGGGCTCTAGGGAAGCTTGCAGTCAGAGTCAGGCCGGAGAAAGCCAGCTTAGTGCAAGGGTGAGTTGTTCCTCTCTGATTCAGAGAGCAGCCTGCTTTGTCTCTCTCTGGTTTTGGTTTGTTGTGTGTGAGCCATACTGAATTCTTCGAAATGAAGTTGTGTTACACGGCAACCTTCCACTGAGAGGATTTATGCTTTTTATTGAACGTCTCGGTGTGTATGCCCAGAATATAACACAGAGAAGTGCCTAAGTCCCATTGAAATCAAGAGGGGAGACCGTGGTGTATCATGGGCGA